TTTTTTGCCTAGTAATTTAGCTTTCAAGAGAAAAAGTATGATTTTAAATAATCGTTAGACTATAGTTCGGTATATAAAATCCTGAAGGAAATTCGAAATAAAGTTAAATGATAGGCCCCTATATTTTTTTAATTCTTTTATGCAAGTCCACAAACAAATTAAATATTTAAAGATTAGGCCGAACGTTGAAAAAATAGTCTCGCAAGTTGACGCAGCTATTTCGAGCTTAAAAATTTAAATTAAACTTTCTGTAAACATCATGCAGGACATGTTCATCATGATAGTATAAATGAAACAGACCCTGTAAGAAAAAAATAGCTGTAATTTAATAATTGTTTATTAATATAATGTGGTCCTCTGCTAATAGAATATATATGCTATAAAAAAAAATCTGAATCAGGGTGAAGCAGATTTGATACAATACATGGCTGAAGGAACGGGAGGGGGGGGGGCAGGCCCCCTGTAATTTGCTGAAATTTAGGTATACTATAGAAAACATTGCTCCTTTATGCTTGGGCCCCCTCAATAATAACCTCTGATGATCTATTTTTCTTTTGCTTTGGGCCCCCTCAATAATAACCTCTGATAATATATTTTTCTTTTGCTTATTAAAATTTTTTTTGGTTAAAATGTAGCCTCCCCCAACCTGAAACTGAAAAATGTTGTTTGGTTGTGCTCAACCCCCCCCCCCCCCTCCAACTAAATTACGTACGGGCCTATTCTCCATCCCTGAGGTTTTCTTTCACCAAAGAAAGATGAATTGGTAACAGTTCAGATATATATAGCAATATTTACGGAAGGGAATATTCTCGTTTAATTATGAAGATGTGACAGTAACTCAGTCAAAGCCACAGTGAGTGTAACATTTATTTAATATTATTGTTAATGTTTACAAATAGTGAAATACTGATACTATGAAATTTTAATGGATATATAGAAAATATAAAAGTACAACCATTTATTGTAAATCACATACATGAAAAGCTTCTCTTTTTTAAGCAATTGGAAATTCTTCATTTTTTCATGAAATTATTTTATTTCGTATGTATGATAATTTATTTCATATTTTAATTCTGTCAACAAATCATTGTCGCAGCCTAGTTCCCTTCATTATTTTCAGCAGTTCAGTAACAGAGATAAAATAATCATTTGAGGTTTATATCCCCCCCCCCCCTCCCCACCAAATGAAACTGAAAAATGTTTGGTTTTGGTCCCCTTCAACTGAAATTGATTCCTACTTACCATGCTTACAGGCTTAACTATGAAGATATGACAGGGAGAGTAATAACAATAATTGTTCAGACGGATACATATTAAGCTGATATACGTATCAAATTTTAATGGATAGATAGAAATTAATAAACAATTACAACCATTTATTATAAACTACATAAAGATAATTTTTCAAGCAATTTGAAATTCTTCATTTTTTTATGATAATATTTTATTTCGTATATATGTTTATAGGTTTATTCGTATCAACAAATCTGTGTACGAGTTAATAACGCAGCCTGGTTCCCTGCATTTTCAGTGAACCACAGAGAACCAGAATAAGATTGTAGGGAAACAAGCCTTGTTACAAGGTTTGAGGTTTGTTTATTTTATATTTTAATTTACACTTTTAAAAATTATTATTATTATGCAAAAATCTGTGTGCAGATGAATATTTACATTTTAATGTTATAAGTCGTTTTGTGGTTCATATTTGCGGTGACTGTCCCACGTGTGTTTACCAGCTGTTTACCTGTTTACATTCACCTACTGACCTAGAGTCTTCAAAATATACCTTCTGTAATCATGACTGTTGTAATCTTGTTTTTATGTTAGTTTACCATATGTAACTTGACTGTTGTATAGATTTATAGCGATCACTGCAAGCTTTTAATATTTAGGTGAAGAGAAATTTCAGACTATCAATCACAGGCACTTGTTTCATATACGGTGCACCCCTACTTATTTTTACCACAAGGTATCTAACTCAATTTCAGGCACCCCCGCTTCAAGCTCGTATTTTGTTCATGTATCATTATCAATCATTAACCTACTTTAAAATGACATCGTTCGCTTCAAGAGACTTTTTTCTTGTCAAATAAATCGTTTCAGACATCTCTGGTCGAGTCTCTTTATTGTAAAGCACTCATTTATTCCACGAAAATTACCTCGATACATTTTAAGACTTTAGATGGGATACAACTTCCAGTTGAGGGTAGAATAAAACCAGAGACTTCCGAGTATTCCATTCCGAGGTCTCTGGTTTTATCCTTCATTTATAACCCCAACCTCAAATTTGAATCGAAAATTACCTTGATACATTTTAAGACTTTAGATGGGATACAAATTTCATTTTTTTCACAGGTCACGAGGTTTCAACTTAAAAAATAAAAATTCTCACCGTTAAGATATGTTGGAAATTTTAGCTTGATGTGTTGATAATTTGCCAAATTATTATGTAATAAAGGGGACTTTATATGATCACCCGGCGCTGTCGCTTTAGTTCAGTCTTCACAACAATTCTTTTTCAGCACATGCCCTTCGGGCATGTAGACCTATCATTTTTACCCAGCCCATTCAAATTTGTACATGTCCTACTCAAAATTCTTACATTTACCAGTATTGTGCAACAAAAAAAAACCCATTAGGTATAAAGGTTTTATATTAATTTTTTCAGCGTCGTAAACCAACCATGGCCTGTGATTGCCATTTTCTAAAGCGTTTTTGTTCATAAATAACTTTTGAGTTGCATGCTGGTCATTTGTTGGCCGGTTTAGCTGAACTGAATTTCAGAAATGGGATCATGACTGTAGTGCCACAGTATGTGGCATTGATGAACATCTCGTAATTTAGCAAGCAACTTCAAGAAAACAAATAGGTTAAACTAAACACTTCAATGATTAGATTGACAATCATTTGACAGGTTGTATCGAGAATGTAGACAGGCAATCCATCGACATTACATATAGCAACGTTTAAGTGAATAATGGGGGTAGGACAGAGTAAATGGCAAGTAAAGATCGTACAATGAAAGAAGATTCACATATGCCCTCTTCGGACATGTAATTTGGCAATTTTTACATGCCCGGCTGCAAATTTAACAGGTCCCTGGCATTGGACTCCCGGGTTATTTGGAAGACTGTTAGTTTAGTTTCATGAGGTCCGACAACATTGATTCTCAATGTCTGCTCCCTCTACCCCATACACTTATCTTGATAAAATTACATAAATTATATTATTAATTATATAAATTGATATAAATTATATAAACCGGTCTTGTTTATATAATTTTACAATGTCATAAACAGCTGCTTAAGTGCATATAATATTGTACTAAATGGATTTATATATAGGATTAGGGAAAGATCCTCACTTGATTATGGCAGCATATTTAGACCGTAGGAGTTTATTATCTACCACACATGATCAATGTCACTTTTGGACGTGAATGACTTTTGACACCCTAACTTCAGTTCAAATTAACGTTATCTTTATGTGACGTCTCTCTGAATCTTTTTTGGCATGTAACTTGGGTAAAAACAATTAAGTACTCTTGATGCATTTGATTTCTCTTAGCCCGTTTAAACATTTCTAAGGTCTATACCAGTTTTTGCAGGGGCGAAACTATGTAGAAGTTGGAAAAGAAACCCATCCCCTTTTTGACGTATTTGGTTTTCGAGGGGTGAAAATTTTCAATATTACACTCAACTACATGCAATATTTATTATATTATACTGAATGTTTTATACAAATACAAATAATAGTGAACCTTGAGCGCATAAATCTGCGCAGTCACTATTTTTTGGAATATCACCCGTCGTCAAGCAATGTTGACTGTTGCGACACTGGGCGTGGCTTCATTATTCAGCGGATAATAGTGCTTTTTAACAAATATTTCTTGAGGAATCAGATTAATTCATCTAATATACCTGAAAGTACAATATTAATTAATTGTCATCATTTTCCTATACATGTATTAGCATTTTTACTGGTAATGGTTTTGAAATGATAGGAACATGCACTGTTCAAAAAGTCTTAAAATGTTGTTTTGGCTCAATTTCTTTGTTAGATTACTGTGTTGAACTAAGGCAGGTCAATTAAAGTAACATGATCCTATAGATTCCATGTACATTTAGTACTGTAAAGTAGACAAATTTATTGTTCTCACAAGTAGTTCTCAAACATTGATTTAAGTTGGTCTCCTGAAGGATGTAATAATGCAATTGGTCTGCTTAAGGTACAGTGTATAATATAGACATGCATATTTTATTTTGAATTTGTATTATGTCAATCATTAGAAATATATGGATCTTAATTAAAAAACATTGTTTTCATTAGAATTTAAGATATGTATAATAGGCATATATTCTTCATGCTTTTCCATAGTTAAGTCCTTTTTTACAGGGTCTCTGCTAGAATCATGTGGACCCCAGTGTAACAAATCTATGGAAAGAGAGAAAATCTCAGCTCAAGGGTCAACATGTCTTTATTCCAAGAAAGGTAAATTGATAATTTTTTCTGCTAAAATACTCTTTTATAAAATTATAATATCAATGCAAAAGAGTGAACAAACAATGTACCTAACAACATTTTGAAAATGAAAGTGCAATAACAGTTAATAATTATGATCAATCGAATGAATGTTAATAATCCAATCAAAGTCCTTGTTGTATATCATTTTTGCTAGGGCTGTGTATTGAGCAAAAAAAAAAAAAAGAAAAAAAAAAAGAAAGACATTTTTTAATGTGATATGCAATATATTGAATTCTTTAACAATTCTATCAAAAAAGTCTTATAAATCATTATGCATGAATTTTATAAAAATAATAATTGTTTTTTTCTCATTTTTAATTTTTTGTCTCACCGTCTTTAAAAATTACACTTCAAATTCAAACTTTTCTTGACTGTAAAATCAGCATGTTAAGTAAAGTTGTCTATGTATTTTTATGATTTTGTAATAATCATTTAAGATGTGCTACCTCCTTAATGATTATATCATTTTTGATCAGTTTTAATTCAAAACAATTACCGGTAAATATAATCTTTGGTGATTGAAATTCCCAAGTTTTTCACAGAATTACATAAAAAAAACTGCCTGCCCAAAATGTATTGGAATTAAGTTATTTTTAGCTCACCTGAGCCAAAGGCTCAAGTGAGCTTTTCTGATCAAAATTTGTTCGTTGTCTGTCGTCGTTGTCGTAAACTTTTCACATTTTCATCTTCTTCTCAAGAACCACTGGGCCAATTTCAACCAAACTTGTCACAAAGCATCCTTGGGTAAAGGGGATTCAAGTGTGTTCAAATGAAGGGCCACACCCTCTTTCAAGGGGAGATAATTAAGAATTAGTGAAAATTTAGTGGTATCTTTTAAAAATCTTCTTCTCAAGAACCACTGGGCTGTAAAAGTTGAAACTTAGGTGAGACCTTCATTACATAGTGTAGATTCAAGTTTGTTCAAATCATGACCCCCTGGGGTAGGGTGGAGCCACAATGGGGGATCAAATTTTTACATAGGAATATATAGGAATAAATCTTTAAAAATCTTCTCCTCAAGAACAACAAAGCCACGATTAGTCATATTGATATGGAATCATCCTCAGGTAGTGTAGATTCAAGTTTGTTCAAATCATGACCCCCAGGGGTAGGATGGGGCCACAAGGGGGGATCAAAGTTTTACATAGGAATATATAGAAAAAATCTTTAAAAATCTTTTTCTCAAGAACAACAAAGCCACAATTAGGCACATTGATATGGAATTATCCTCAGGTAGTGCAGATTCAAGTTTGTTCAAATCATGACCCCCAGGGGTAGGGTGGGGCCACAATGGGGGATCAAATTTTTACATAGAAATATGTAGGACAAATCTTGAAATTGTTTTTCTTAAAAACAACAAAGCCACAATTAGTCATAATTTATATGGAAGCATCCTCAGGTAGTGTAGATTCAAGTTTGTACAAAATCATGACACCCGGGCAGGGGGGGGGGGCACAATGGGGGATCAAAATTTTACATAGGAATTTTTAGAAAAAAAATCTTTAAAAACCTTTCTCTCAAGAACAACAAAGCCACAATTAGTCATTTTGATATGGAATCATTCTCAGGTAGTGTAGATTAAATTTTGTACAAATCATGACCCCCAGGGGTAGGGTGGGGCCACAATGGGGGATCAAAATTTTACATAGAAATATGTAGAAAAAAATCTTGAAAAATCTTCTTCTCAAGAACAACAAAGTCACAATTAGTCATATTGATGTGGATTCATCCTCAGGTAGTGAAGATTCAAGTTTGTATCAAATCATGACCCCTCGGGGTAGGGTGGGGCCACAAGGGGCGATCAAAGTTTTACATAGGAATATACAGAAAAAAAAATTGAAAAATCTTCTTCTCAAGAACAGCAAAGCCTTGTTAAGTCATATTGATATGGAAGCTTTCTCAGATAGTGTAGATTTAACTTTGTTCAAATCATGACCCCCCAGGGTTAGGGTGGTGCCACAATTGAGGATCAAAGTTTTACATAGGAATACATAGGAAAAAACTTCAAAAATCTTCTTCTCAAGAACAGCAAAGTCATGTTTTGTCATACTGATATGGAAGCTTCCTCAGGTAGTGTAGATTCAAGTTTTTTCAAATCATGACCCCTGGGGGTAGGGTAGGGCCACAATGGGGGATCATAGTTTTACATAAGAATATATAGGGAAAAAAAACTTGAAAAATCTTCTTCTCAGGAACAGCAAAGCCATGTTTTGTCATATTGATATGGAAGCTTCCTCAGGTAGTGTAGATTCAAGTTTGTTCAAATCATGACCCCTGGGGGTAGGGTGGGACCACAATGGGGGATCATAGTTTTCCATAGGAATACATAGGAAAAAACTTCAAAAATCTTCTTCTCAAGAACAGCAAAGTCATATTTTGTCATACTGATATGGAAGCATCTTCAGGTAGTGTAGATTCAAGTTTGTTCAAATCATAAACCCCAGGGGTAGGGTGGGGCCACAATGTGGGATCAAATTTTTACGTAGGAATATATAGGAAAAAATCTTTTCATCAACAGAAAAGCCATGTTTAGTCATATTGATATGGAAGCATCCTCAGGTAGTGTAGATTCAAGTTTGTTCAAATGATGGAGGGGGGGGGGGGTAGGGAGGGTCCACAATGGGGGATCAAATTTTTAATAAGGGAATATATAGCAAAAAAATCTTTAAAAATCTTCTGCTCAAGAACAGTAAAGCCATTTGTTATATTGATATGGAAGCATCCTCAGGTAGTTCAAAATCCAAGCCCCCTCCCCTTTAAACTTTTCTATACTGAAATGATTTGTGCTTTTTCCTAGCCAATGTGCTCAGGTGAGCGTTGTGGCCCATGGGCCTCTTGTTTTTGATACGATATATTCATTAATCTAGATATGTATCGATATACAGGTAAACTTCGGTATCTCGAACACCTGTATGTCGAATACCACGGATATCTCGAAGTGAATCAACGGTCCCAGCCGTTTTTATTATATTTATGATTTTAAAAAACCCCGGTATCTCGAACACGGAAATCTCGAATACCTCGCTTATCTCGAAGTAGATTTACGGTCCCAAGTGCTATAAACTCATGCGTTATCTCGAAGTCCAACAAATTCTCGCTCCACTGAATTCACACCTTAGTACACAATAATCCCATTATGGTAATTTTACGGTCTGTTGAACGTTTCCGTTAGGTCTAGCACAGGCTTCATGGGACCATTGCTGATAATCACACCTTATTAGTCCCAAGCTGTTGTTTTTGGTAGTTAAATTTAATTACGCAGGCCAGGTGATTTGGAGGTGTTAATAAAATGCACTCTCAGAGATACTATGACACGATAATGAAACAGCAGCTTGGGGACGATTACTGTACTAGAAATTTAAATTATCGAAAATACACGCTTATACACATCATTACATATCAAAGTAAACACTGAACACATCAAAGTGATATTGACCTCAAGAAATTAAACAATTAAAGACATTATTTTGAGTATAAAAGTCAGTACCAAAAATCAAATCTTCAGTAAATATCATGTCCGATAAGGCAGTCTAACGAAGGACCCGGTAGCCAACCAGAGGGGATAGTTAGATTATCTGACCGTAGTGGAAAAAGAAAACTTAAAGTTCATACAATCGAAACAAAGTTTGCTTTTGTTTATTCATATTGGCAATTTCAATAAATTATTGTAGAACGATAATTCCTGTTGTTACATTTAGGCATGTGGGTATCTGTACATATCCTGTTAAAGTCTTTGTGTATCACATTATATCATGATATACTTCGGACAAATTAGTACACCCGTAGTTTTGAATACAATTCATACATTGATTTCATTTGCCACAATGGTCTCTTTAATATTGCAATAATGCATTTGGTCTTCCTAATGCATGTATAATGCAGGTACTGTATATATTCTATGTCCAGCTTATAGGTGAGTCATAAAAAGATTAGTATTTTGAAACCAGGTTAAAACATCAGAGCATTGATTTGAAATTGTCAATTGATTCTGGCAAAAAGTTGTACCAATTTATAAGCGGGTCAATAGCAAATCCCTCCAAAATAACCTCAAAAAATACAACTGACTTATAGGTGGACCACCTTATAGGCAAGTATATATACGGTATAGTTTTTGTTGAATTTTGCTAACAGCAAAACACTATGAATAATGAATTTTGGAAAAAAAAGATTATTAAGTTTAATGATGCATGTATGTAGTATAGAAATATTGTTCATATGCCTGTACATGGTACAAATATGCATTTTACAGAGTGTACATATGCCAGAATCATATGGACCGCAGACTGGCCCTGGTGATTCCGTTAAGAAAAAAGAGGAAAAATCAGTGCTTGTGCTCATTGGTCATTGGACAAAGGTAACTAGATTTATTTCATGAAACTAAACATGTAAATTACTAGGATATTAAAATATCACAATTAAAATACATGTACTGATTTATTTATATATATGATTGCGCCCATGACAAAAGGGCCTTATGGCAATTTTGTTAAAACAGAGAAATAACGTCATAAAGATATGACGTTGCAGACGGTGAGCGTCGACGCAGATTTTTTTTATCCACGTGTTTATTTACGTTTTGACACGTCTAGCTCAAGTCTTGTTCTCAACATTGAAATAATTATTCATTTTCATTTATATCTTTAATTCAGGTCTTGATCTTCTAGTCCACTGATATTAATCAAAATACATGTATTTAGAATTTTATTCGAGACCCGTTTCTTTACTACATGTTATTGTAGCTTTATACGTCTCTGATCTGGGCTATGCATTTCCTATACACATAGATCTACATGTATAGAAGCTTCAGACTAGGTGATTTTCTGGATAATTGAATATGGATGAACGAATGCGATTTTGATATATAGACAAATTGAAGTTATTTGTTAGACACGGGTATATTATCAAAATATTGCAGAGGAAATCGTTTTCCTGTATAAGATCCGCCCCACCATTCTCAACACATCGATCATGTAAACATTGAAGCATTGGTACATCGTGCATAAATTTTTGTTGTAAAACGCTTTAATTGCCAAAAATTTGAAACTGATCACACTTCTTCCAACAGAAAAGAAAAGTATTCTTGTAAGTTTTCACAAATCTAGCAAAAGTACGAACGAATGACAGACGTGATATTTGTCATCTCTCTCGAGAGATGACACATTAAGTTTGATTTCGGATGTGAAGTCCCAGTGTAAGCTGCCATTAATCAATCGGCAATCCTCGGCTGATTCCAATACGCTCCATACAAAAAGTTGGCACGAGCCACCCGAGGAGCACCGAGTGGCCCTTAATAAGCGATGATGCGATTTTCTAAATATATCGATAGAGATGTAAACAATGAGCGATCTGTCTTATTATTGATTTAAAGAAAACAAGCTGCACAGGAATCAGAGAGAGTCAGACACACAGGATCGCCTGGGTGGTGGTGGGTCTTCAAAATATATGTTCTTATGTAGTCATCTAGGCCATTGCGTAAATGATGGTCAGCACTCGATAGAATGTTCTAACTAGGTCAGCGCGTGTGTATCAAAAATCATTATAGATCCTCTGCAGCCGAGGCGTGGATCCAAGAATTAACAGAAAAACAACATCAAAGTTAAAACATTTACATTAGTACTCGCATTAACTGATATGAATTGGAGGTGAAAACTTTAATTTTTTTGGTACATTAGTCATTCTATAACTTGCTGCCATTTTTAAATAATACAAATTTTATTCAGCGAATGTATTATGAGGAAAGACATTTTAGAAATTAAAAGCACAGGCTAAGCGGAGACATAAATGTCAAAATAAATAAGAAGCTACAGGCGTCGGAAGAAAGATCACAAAGAATCATTATATGAGTATTTTCTTGCATGTCTACACTTTTCTTTTTCAGGATTTATAATTAAAGAAATTCGCGATCAATGTTTTGCAATCATTTTCTTTATGCGGTTTCAAATTGCATTAATGGCTAAAAAAAAAAAAAAAAAAAAAAAAAAAAAAAAAAAAAAAAAAAAAATAATAATAATAATAATAATAAAAAGAGTCATCAAATCACTTCTCCTATATTATTGAAATGAAGCCAATATTATAATATATTCCTAAAACAGCCGTAAATTCAGGGTTGGCAAATTGGGACTCTTTTTTCAGATAATTTGTAAATGCTTAATTTTAGCTGATAGCATGTAAATGTTATTACTTATCTCTATTTAAAAGCATGTGAGCGTTATTTCTTTGGATAAGCTATGTAGAAAGTGCCTCGTAGCTGGCCCGGCAATCAAATCAGAAGCTATTGTTTTTTAATGATTGACAGGCGGTATACTATTGATCTTGAATTAGATAGATTTTGGGGGCGTTAACATAAAATTGGGTGTTTAAAGTAGGCTTGACATTGTATGTGCTTTACAAGTTAATTACGTTGATGGCAGTTTTCACTCTTCTATGCTGTATTTCGTCAGCACCGTGCGCATGTGCTTACATGTATATTTTATAAAGCGTTAAAAGTTTATTCTGAATAGTAAACGGTTTTGATGTAAGTGTAGTTCAATTTCCCCTTTATATCCCCAAGGGCTCAATGGCCATATCACTCAAAAGAATGAGAATATCTTTAGAAAGGGTCGGACTTATTTAAGTTAGCGCTTTATAAACTTTTTATCTGCTGTCAGAGTAAGCAGTTGGATCAAAAGGAACGCATAGGTTTTACCCATCTTCTTGTAAAAAATGTTTACAAATTTTACGAATACTGCTTAGTGGTTACATTTTTAAATACATTGTACAAAAAATATTTGTAATTAATAAAAAATATTTTCACGTAGATTTAGTGTTACAGACACGTGTCATCAGGAGGGCACCTCTCAATTTATTTAAACATTAAAGGGGCCTGGACACAGTTGCAATGTTTACATTTTTAAAAAAAATTCTTTATGTTTATTCAAAAAATAACTTCAATTTAATTTGAATTGATCTTACGTGAATATTCTTAGAATTGAATGACAGCGACATTCTTCATAATATCACATCAAACACCTGTGTTTGTTAACAGGGCACAAGCTCTGTTTATACCCCCCGCTTGAAAAGTGGGAGGATATATAGTGATCGGGGTGTCCGTCAGTCCGTCTGTATGTACGTCCGTCCGTCCGTCTGTTACGCTTTGGGGTACCCATCTCTTATCCTCAACTCCTCTTATACCACTGAATGAAATTTAATGGGACTTTCAAAGATTCTTTATTACATAGTGCCATTGTGCACCTCCTATTTTACTTTTTGATCCGACACATATTTCGGGTCCCCAATAGCAAAACATAGACTTTGCCATTATAATCATATGGGAGGCGGGGGTATCATTTTGTGAGCTCACTGCTAACTCTAGTGTTGTTATTGTTTACATTTTACGGGGTGTGTTCAGTATTTTTAGTCTGCACATATCACTGATCACGGACTGACAATACTGGCGAGTTGGTTTTGATTTCTGGCATTTCTACTCTAAACTTTCTGGATCATGGTTTTCATATTTTTCATTAATGCTCAACAAAATTTGTACTTTTCTGAAGGTTCATAAACTCTCTGCTCATTCATATAAAATGTTTCTTTAACTCTTATGATTTTCCGAAGGAAATGTAAATGCTAAGTAAAATTCAAACAATTATAGCATGGCTTGCGGGGCAAAATTGGACAAAAAAGACACTTCAACTTGACAAATTTATAAAGGGATAATAGACATTTTTGTCATTAAGAGTTATCTCTCTTATCAGAGTATCGATGTACCCTAAGTATTATGGATAAAGTTAACTTTGTGAAAGTGCAAGGATATGTGTCAGTCAAAAGCGTCCCAACTTTGTAGTTTTAATAATTTCCAGATAAAAGAGGTTTCTAAACACGATTTTAATATATTTCGGTGTGAAATGCTTTAGCAACATATGAATAATGATATTATTTAGAAAAGTTTAGAAAATATGATCTTCAAATCCGTCTCCCAGCCCTCTAACCTTTTACTGTTGTAATTGTTCACTGCAAGCCCCCCCTCCCTTATCCACACTTTTTGTTGGGGTATAGTCATGTCTTCCCCAAATAAATGTGTTTTTCGAAAAAATCAAAAAGTTAAAAGCTTCCCTTCCCATCCACAACATAGGATTTTGGAGTTTGAACACTACCCTTTATTTTTCAGGTAAGTTGTATTTTTTTTTTCTAACTGCCACTCCCCTTCCCTAAAAAAAAATAGAAAAATCTTCTGCCTGTAATAGCTGAGAAAAAATGTTACATTCCACTGTTTATTCTGTGACATAAATGAAACCAAAGAGATGACATTTCAGGCTTTCTGGAAAGCCAAACTTGTATTTTTAAGAACTATAAATAAAAACAAGAGAGGTAACTCTGACAAGCAAGATACTAGAGAAGTACCAGAAAGGCACTTTCTATTTTTTTTAACACCATTCAAAATCAACATACTCATACAAATTTGCTTCCGTAGTATAAAAAATATTTTTCAAAAATCTTACTTATCATCAGTTAAAAAAACGTTTTAATTGTAAGTATTATATTTATATTTTCTTCAAAAGTATTTTTGAAAGCTCATGGAACTAGCTGCTGTCAAAGTGAAAGAGAAAAAAATATATAGAATAAGAAATAGATGCTACATTGAACCAGACTTTCATTTTTTTAAATCTGTTACATGTGCTTCCATTTATTCTAACATGAAATTATTTTTTAAAATAACTTGAATTTTTAATTTTTTTCAGTAATAATGATCATAAATTTAAATAAAATAAAATGAAATTTAAAAAAAAAAAATTGTTTCGTCTTATTTTTGTTGTTGCCACTTCCGATGTAAGTACTTGAAAACAAACAAAAACTACCGAATGAAATAGCATTGTTCTAATTGTTCTAGCTTAAAAAAAAGTTTACATGTATGTATACCTGATGTGTGGGAGAGAGAGAGAGAGAGAGAGAGAGAGAGAGAGAGAGAGAGAGAGAGAGATGTTACATTAAATCAAGTTTATTTACACAATGTGAAATGTGAAACTTTAATGAAAAGGCGAATTTTCAAAAACACAACAATATCGTATTATGAAAAGAAATCTCTATCTTTTTTTTTCTTTTGCTGTCTGTTTATTTTCAGTAACTCGAAAATATAACATTTTGGTACTCGTGTTGTGCATAAAAAAAGTTCAAAGGTTTTAGCTTTATCTGCAGTTTTTAGTCACTTAAAAGTCAAATATATGTAATCCTTGTCATTCATAGAATGTCATTACAGTTCTATTATCAATATAAAACTCGTTTCTTATTGAAATAATAATCTCAGTTATCGGGTTAGTATGATATTGCTTAACTTGTCGTTGAATTATGTAAACGGGCTGATTTTGTTATTTCG